GGTTCAACGGGGGTGGCGGTGACACGTTTGCTACCTTATTCCAGGGCGGATCCGCTGGGGGCATGTACGCACCCAACTCCGTGCCTGATAGCACTACTACTTCGTCGACGACCGCCGTCCAGCAGAGTCCTACTGCCAGCAACCACCGTTTCAGCATCGCGCACTCGGAACCGGTGGACCAACGGCCGGCTGACTGCGGACTGTTCTTCGAAGACCTGAAGTCGTCTTTGCCGCCTCCTCCGTCTTTGCCTCCTCCCGGCCTGCCTTTTTTGGACGCGTCGTATGGCACACCGGACCAGATGTCATACACGAAATTTTGCGAGCCTATCATCAGGCAGCAGGGTACTTGACCAAGTTCTTTTTTTTCTTCTGCTAAGGGATGAGCGATGGAAGTCGATCGACCCCTTTCGTTTCTTTTGCGCGTTTTCATCGTCATCTCTTCTACTTCACGTTTCTTTCAAATGCCATCCGTATTTCGTGTGTATCTTCTCCATAACAATGGTCACTTTGGCTACCTCGTTATCAGACGGCATTGATTGAGGGGCATCGTTTTCTACTTCTCTTGACTTAGTCCTGTCTGTATTGTAAACTAAAATTTTTTTTGCCAACCCTAATGGAACAGGCGATCGTTGTTGCTTCAGGGGATGCATCGTGGTGTTGTTTGACTCTACTCTTCTACGGTTTATCTTCTCATGTGAGTTAAACGTCGGCGGCTGCAAACTTTAAATTAAGCATAAGGCTGTGTCCTCCTTGTGGTAAGTGAAGTCATGGTTTTAGGCCTCTTTGCTGTTTCATCGAAGGAGATACTCCAGAGCTACTACAAATATATCCAAAACATGCCTTTTGTCGTTACCGTTACTACTGATGAGCAGCGGCAACATATAAGCTAATATTATATTTGTATATACCATCATGCAGTATTTAAAATGCGCAGGTGGTGGATGCTGATGTTACATTACTATATTGCAAAGAATACTGGGACTGTGGGATTACCTCGTGCAAACGACTAGTGAGAGGAGATGTAATTTTTATCGACAGTATCGAAACTGGCGATTTGCTAGCAAAGTCGTGATGCCGAGCCTTATGTTTAGTATCTATGCCTAAGAATAGAACTGTATTTCTTGGTGCTCGAACAATTCTTTGTGG